TACCAAAATAATTTCTGTTACTGAATTATTCTTTCTCTTGAGTGTTTCTGCTTATTCTCTATTTATATCTTTAAAAAAAAAAAAAAGCTTTCCTAGTTACTAATTAACTGGCAAGTACATAAAATGCAAAATGTCAACTTATTAAACACATGCACACAAACACATACACACACGGAAGTTTTCTTCATAGTAATGTTTGTTATAATTAGTACCAATAGTCATAGCATCTTTTTATTCTATTATGTCATAATATTTTTATCCGGGAATACAGACTACACTATTGTATATGTAATTTTTAAAGATAATCACATTGTTAATAAGTATCTTACCAGATCTTACCCAGCACATCAAACAAAGAAAAATGTATACTCTCATTTGGAATCTGAGAAAAGCAAAAGCGGCACTCAATTCACCAGAAAGGAAATTCTATGACTCATTGAGGTTTCTCTTTGGTAGGATCATCAAGGGCTGCCAGGTTCTACTGTAAAAGTTCACTGACTTTTGCTCCTCCCTCTTGGTTGAAAAAGGTGAGGTAGTTTGTTTTCTCCCATTTTAGCTTGTGGCTGTGGGAAGGATTTTTAAGTCACAGGCTCTGTAATAAGGCACAAACAAAATTTCAGCTACACAAGTTGAATTTAAGGAAATGATAAATCTAATTACATCTTTCTGTATTCCTTTTTAACCTCAGGATTTCAGAAGTGGTCAGGGAAAATATACAAACGTGATGTTAGAAAATGCTGGAAATGGAAAGTGTCAGAAAAAGTTGTGGTTTATATTCATTTGGATTACAAACTGAGATGTCTTTATATATGTAAATCAGTAATGAAATCTACATCCATCAAGCTCTGTCAAGTATAAAATACGAGCTTTTCATATTTATGTTATTTTATATCCCCAAAGCAGAGGCTATTTTAAAATTCAAAATTTTGGCTTATCTCTTGACGTTAAAAGGTGAATTTTTTAAAAATTGTCTTTAATTATGACAACCATTTTAAAATTAGCATACTTTTTCTTTTTACATATTTACTTAATTATCTTCTTTTCCTACCAGCCATGGACTTTAGTAAGCAAGAAAAATTGAGAGTTGTTCTATGTACAGGAATTACAAGGTTAAAAATTAAATTTGTTTTGAAAAAATTCAAGTCTCCATAAAGTTCCAAAAATACAGTAAGAACAGAAGTGTTTAATATATGTCATAAACCCACAGAAACTAATCTGAGGTCTCGGAAAGAATTTGAGAAGATCCACAAACAAAATGAGGTATTAGTTTTTAAAAAAATCATGAACATTTAACTTCTGAGGAAATTCCATCATTATTTTGACTATTTGATCTCTGGGTGTTTTACACGAGACTTCCATTTTTAAAACAATGCTACCACTACAATCTGTTTGGAGACCAAAAAATAATCTAGGTCTTTCCACAGCACTTAGCTGTAAGAACTATACCTCTCTAACAAAGATATAAATAAGTCACATCATTTCAGAATGTGGGAAGAAAGATAATCTTAAAACAAATTTTTCCTAGCAAGTTATACTTAATAAATTAAAATACAAATCTTTCCTCCTTCACTTACAATTTCCTTTTTTCTTTGTGCTTTCAATGCAGCATTATAATATGACTCTTGCACATTTACTTTCATCTTTACAATTCTGAAGAGTTCATACTGAAAAATACTGGCCTATCAGACAGTATAATACAGATTCCAAATTTAAAATTATGATTCTTCATTATCATGTATTTTACATACTGCCAATATGAGAAAGATGAGGTCATTAATGTTTATTGCATTAAATAGCAAAATATTGGGGAATGACAAAGTTATAAAATGCCAGCAATTTAGTAAGACATAATCTGTTTAAGCACTTTAGTCCTCCTTGGATATAAAAAATCACTGTCAGTAGCTTACATACATGCTTACAATGTAAACAGTAACTCAAAGGCGATGTTCAGTATGATGATGTGAGGATAACAATGATGAAGAAGATTTACAATTTATTGAGCCCTATGCATCAGGTGTTCTTCAAGTACTTTACAAGTAATTATACGTGGTAGTTAATTATTGTTTATTGCGATGGAAAATCATTGTTTATCTCAATATATTTTGTGACAACCTTTTATTAATTTGTCAATGTGTAAAAATGTTTAACAATCTTACTTTTTGACTGAGCAATTAAGCATCAAAGACATTTCCTACAGAAATCCAAAACACTTTTCTACACAAACATCGAAGGTCCTTATATGTGGCAAATGGTGCACATGCACAAATATTTGAGCAAAGACGTTCATCTCAGCATTCCAGTAATAGTCAAAAAATGAAAGCAATATAAAATCTAACAATGAGAGATTAGTCTAACTAGGTACCTACTGTGGATTAAAATTAATGATATAGATAGATCAGTATTTATTGGTGTAAAAGGTCTTCATTACAGTTTTAGAGGGCAGAGGGAAAGCTGAAAAACAGTATGATGTAGCATGGTTTATTTTCCTAAAGTGAGAAATATATACGCATATATATGTGCATAGTTCAAAGTCTGGAAGGATTTCCTCTAAAATAGTTATCTCTGCCTGATAAATTTGTAATTTTTACTTTCTTACTTCCTTAAATTTTAAAAATATTTATTTATAATATTTACAATAAACATGTAAAATGATTAAAAAACTGTATTTACTTGACAAAAATATGGTTAGGAAAAATCAGAATAAAGACAAAGTGGGGGTTAAAAAAAGTGAAGACCAAAGTGAGTTCAATTTAAAAAATCATGCAATAAAATCCCTTAACAGTAATTGGCCAAGTTCCCCCATTCACTCATTCATTCACTCAGTTGTTCATTCATTTTGGAACTTTCACTAAGCACCTATTGATTTCCAGGCACAGATTTTGTTGTTGGGGACACAAAGTATTAAGTATTAAGACATTTATTTATTCAATCTTTATTTCAATAACTATTTGTTATATGCCCACAGGTGTGCCAGAGATTGTCCTAGGTACTGAAATTTCCATTTATTATATGTTCATTCAGCTAGTGACATCAGATATCCTGATATGAAGAAAGGCTAGTTCTTTATAGAATGCTACATGTATTTAACCCATTAAAACTTGCATATGACTAACGGTCCAGTAAATACTGAAAGTTTGAAGTGAATTATTTTTAACCCACTAGATTTATTACCATGCCTGCATTCAATATGAGTTAAGAAACACAGTATGCTTACATTAGATAAATGATATATTGAGATCAAATTCTGAAAATCTTGCTAACTACAGGAGCTGACTTTCAGTTTATAATATTGACTAAGTGCTCTATAATTATAAGCACTATAAACTCATGTACAGCCAAAAGAGGACATTATGACACCAAAATTATGCACATTTGTAGGCAAAGAAGGATGCAAATTTCAATAGAAAAATATAATATGAACATTAATTACAAGTGTAGTTAAAGGTTTATAGCCTATACACTCATATACATGCAATGGTTTAAAGTGAAACCAGAAGATACAGCTTCCATATAAGTAGTGTCTGAGGGGAATTTAAGGAGTAAATATGTTGGTTTGATACGATTTATGAAGTAAATGGCTACAAATATATCAAGAGGTCTACACAGAGACTTGCAAGTATCCATTCATTTGATCAACATATTTATTTGCCTACAATGTGTTTCCTTAACTCCCTCCTACTATATCACAACTATACTGATGATAGTGGAAAGAAAAGGAAAAAAAAAATGGAGACAGGATATATACCTTCATGATATAGCAGTTGAAGGTAACTACTGATACCTTTAGTATTCAGTAGTTATTGAAGGTAACTACTTTATATTGTATTTGTGAGGATGGAAAGGCTGTCTCTCGCATAAGATAAGCTTTAGGAGGTCAGAATTTTATACTTGTTTTCCAAGAATTAAGCATTTAGAAAGTACCTATTAAATGAAGTAACTATATTTAGTCCAAACCATTCCTTAAGAGACAGAATCCGAATTCCAGAGAGAAATTGCTTGTTCAAAGTCGTAAAACTGTGTAATGTCAGAGTTCAATTAGAAAATAGGACTTCCTAAATTGTGTACCTTTTCATTAGAAAAGATTTTTTTTTTTTGTTTGGTCCATCACCCAGATAAAAGCACACCTCCTCAATTCAAAATGAAATTTCATCATGATGCCAAACTAAAGGCCAAATAATGCTCTGATTACCTATATGTTATTCATGAGATGATCTCAAGGTCCTATGTAGACATACGGTAGCTACAGAAAGGAAGCTAACAGTTAATTTATCAAAGTACTGAGATTCTAAGTTTTCTTTCTCCTTTCTTGTAACTTTATTGTTTTTAAGATTTTTATTAAAAGCAAAAATTATCCCAAGAAAGAACTAAGCCTTTAACATAGTATACCATATACAAAGTACAGCCCTGAAACAAAGTACAGCCATTTGATCCTGCCACAAACCCCCAGTTGCCATCCTTAAAAATTCTTGCTCTACTCTCTCCAGTATATCTCTTTGTATTAGCTTTCCCAAGTTCAAGTTCCTTTTGCAGTCCACGTAAAACCTCTGTGGCCAGTTTCAAAAACTCATCCAGGGAGCACTTTCTAAGAAAATAAACTTTAATTCTAGTAGTCTGTTGTATCCACATTCATGCAAGCATCGATTCTTTCAAAAATTACGAATAATTTAATATCTTAATGATTTGTCCATTTATTCTTTGGACACAAACGAATCTCCTCGCATTAGCCTGGGAGCAATGAAGTTACCACATCTCTACAGTCATTTTATTTAAAATGTTGATTGAATAAATCCAAATCAATTAATGTGCCAGAATAAAAGGAAGCCACCCCACGAGCTAAAGGTTAGTAAAGCCCTTTCTGCATTCATCTTTCTTGCTCTCACCCACTCTCCCACCGCTCAGCCCTGCCCTCGGTAAGGGGGTTGGTGCGGTGGTCGGTTCCCCACGTGCCCTGGGGGCGTGGCCCTGAAGCCTCGCCCCGCCCCCGGCGCGCGCTCCCGGCGCCGGACCCGCCCCCTCATCCGCGCGGCGCCGTAAAGCCGGAGAAGGGGCGGTGTCTCGTCTCCTACTTCATCCTACCTCCAAGACCGGAGGATGTTCCCTGCTCAGGAGGAGGCCGACAGGACGGTGTTTGTGGGGAATTTAGAGGCCCGAGTTCGGGAAGAGATTCTGTACGAGCTGTTCCTTCAGGTACCGTCCTCTGGGAAGGGGCGGCGGAGGGGCGGAGCGCGTTGGGCCGGAAGCGCAGCGCTCACCTGGGCCACCCAGAGCCCCGCCCCCTTCCGCCCCGTCCTGAGCAGGGCTTTTAATTTAGTTTCGCCTTGGCGCACCTGTCTCCAGGTGAGCGGCTGGGGAGTATAGTGACGGAGTGATCCCATGTCCCCATCCTGCTTCAGAGTCCTGGGGGTGGGCAGGGATGGGGTTCCCCCGCCCTGCGTTTCTGAGTTCGGGCTTCCCAGAGGCTGCCTGGGCCTCGGGTGTTCTCGGGCAGAATCGAAAACAGCCAGGTCACTGTACTCCGTGAGGAAATAAGCACGTCTAACGTCCCGCAAAAGGAGAGGGTCGCTTTTATAATGTTTCCTTTTACACCTTGCTCCTTACTTCAAGCCTCTTATGCGGAGAGTATTTTTATTCCAGCATCATAAGTGAGATTTGAGATGATTCGGCAGCCAACTTACCGTGACTGTGACCAATTGATTCCCTGGCCAAGGCCCTTTAATTCATACCAAGAAGACCTTCGGAAACTTCGAGACCTGGTACCTCTAGGATTAAGCCTGTTGTGTCCTGTAAACACGCTCACGTATCTTGTTGTCCTATACAACTAGGTCTCACTTGCCAAAGAGATACCCTCATTCAGCCATTCCCCTAACCGTGTAATGATCCGGAATTCCAGGGCAAACGGGAAGATGCGGGGAATACAAATTGAAGAGACCCTTTCATCTGCCTAAAAGGAAGAACTTAAAATTACAGTGTTTATGACAATCTATAAAACAAGAAGGGCACATAGAAAAGTGTTCCCAGTCGGAGCTCTGAGGTCAGCAGTGTGACTCTGAGCCTGTCAATGAATACCTCAATGCCTCAGTTTCTTTATATGTCAAAAGAGAGTAATAGTATCTGCAATATAATGTGGCTGTCGGAATATATGACCTAATGGTAAAATGACTAGAGCTAAGTCAACACTTACTCTTTGCTACCACTGCTACTGCTAATGATACTGTTGTTAGTATTCATAATAACATCAACAGAAACCTACAGTTACTTCCTCCTGTCAGAATAAGGGAAAGTTAGGAGAAAGACCATTGCAGAACTAAATTTTCTGATTGAATGGGTGAAAGGGGTTCTTTATTTGGTTGTGAAAGGACTTACTTTTGTCTCCACACTTAACTAAAGAAACCCTCTTTAAGTTATAGATACACAGAGTTTGGTAGAGAGGGTTCGCTCCAGGAATACAGTCTCCTTTCCGGAACATTAAACTTTTTTATTATTTGAAAAATATTGTTGATTTTAAGACTTATGTTCATTCTTTTAATTCATCTTTTTAAACTTGCCCCCTTTTTATCACCTCTGATCCATGTCTGTTTTTTCATTCTGTATCGTTTGAAACTATTTTTCTCCAAAAGACTTCTTTGACTTTGAGCCTCCAAAAAAAAAGGAGAGAGGAAGACTAGGGTGGGATTGCATTATCCAGTACAAACACATGTTTAGTCAATCAGGACTCCATCAGTATCAGTTGTGTGGATCCACCAGATTATGGATTTTATCTTCTCATTTTTTATAATTTCCTTCTTCCACCTAAGCAAATTGTAAATTTTATTTAATAGATCAGGTAAGAAGCATAAGTTCTTATTTTTGTCTAGGTACTGAAAAGAATTGCTGAAGTGGAGTTTCTTTTCCACTTTAGACTTAGACACCCAGTAAAACTTGACAACTGTCACACTATGTATTTCATTGTGGTTTAAAAAATACTATAAGATGATGTGATTGTTGCTACATGTTAGTCTTCATGTTGAATTTTATCTTTAAAAGTGCTTTGGATTATCTAAATTTATTTATGTCAAAATTCAAATCATGTAATCATATTCTGTCTCATAGTGATTACATGTATTTAATATTGGTATAAAAATCACCAATTTTATTGGTTTTATTTATATTACTGTATATTTATCCTTTTACTGTTTTCTTTCAAATTTCTGATTATATTTGTAAGTGAGAAAGTCAGTCATTTGATGATGTTATCATCAAAAATCAGTCACATTGATGAATGTTATCATCATTATACTTAAAATACCAAGATTTGGAGAAGAAATTATAATGAATTCAGTTTCAAATACATTGAGTTTGAAGTACAAAAATGTAGAGGTCTCCAGAAGGTGTCTCCATGAAAGAGACACAGTGGAAAAAGTAGATTTGTTGATGAGGTGGTCCTTGAAGCCAGAAGGGAAGGGAAGCTAGTCCCTGGGAGAGCACAGAGAATGAAAGGAAAAGACTAAATCTTAGCATGCAGAATTATTTTAAAGATGATCATGACTATTTTAATTTAGAGTAAAAGCAGTTTGTGTATTTATGCAACTCTGCAGAGAAAAATCATCCATTATTAAAGTCTGAACCCTTCGACATTAAATCAGTTGTTTGTGTTTGTAAGTGCCTCCTGTAATCATTATTATGGCTGTGATGTAACTTTTTTGTTAGTTGTAATTAACACTTTTCTATGATATTTGGCTCTGCATTTTTAAATCTTCATTGCATATTATAGGTTTTTCTATCAATATAATATGAATATTTATAATTTATATTTTATTCCATTTTAATAATGTGCCATGGAATAATACCTCCAGTTAGATTTAGAGCCTCTCTAAAGTCTCAAACTTATAAATGATGCAATCTATTTAAAAGTCTTAAACATATTTAAACATTTTTCCTTTGGAAATTTACCAAATGGAGTTTCCAAATCAAAATGCATGATATATTTATTTCTTCTTGTAAAGATGTTTAATCTTTGTGACAGAACATTTAAGCTATTATATAACATTGCCAGCTTTTTGGGGGTAACTCAACCAATATTGAGTTTCTCATTTCAGTTAATTTTGTAATTCAGTATTGCATGTATGTATGGAGATGAAGCAGTATTTTAATCTTAGATTTATGTGTTTTCTAAGTTGGTTTCTTAAGCCTAACAGAAGAATAGTCTACCATTTCTTTTACAGCTCGAAACTAGTACCTAGAATTTTCTGTCCTTAATACCATAAATGTTTCCCCAAAAAGCCAGAAAATACAAAGAAAGTGTGAGGAAGTGTAATGTTTATTATTAGAAAGATGCATTATTAGCAGAGATACATAAAAATGTTGGTAACACATTTCTTTAGTCTAAAGCTGAATTTGTTTGAGTATAAAAAAAAATCTTTGGATTTATGAGAAAATAATTTTTAAGTTTCTTATAGGCGGGGCCACTAACCAAGGTGACTATATGCAAAGACAGAGAAGGAAAGCCGAAGTCTTTTGGATTTGTGTGCTTTAAGCATCCAGAATCGGTATCTTATGCCATAGCTTTGCTAAATGGAATTCGTTTATATGGAAGACCAATTAATGTGCAGTATCGATTTGGTAGGTCCTGTCACTGATTAATCTTCAAAGTGTTTTGTGGTTGGTACTATTCTTAGAGGCATAAGCATTTTGTTTCCTATATAGTGTAAGATCAAAAAAGAAAAAATATCTCTGTGGTAATTGCTACATTTTCTCAGAACACATGTCTAATTCATAATGTTATGTGGTTAGTCTTACCAAACCTCTAGCATCTTTTTCTAAAAATAAAATATAAGATAATCATTTTAATATCAACCAGCAAGTGGCTATGATGGTTGCCATTGGCCCTTATAAATTGATCAAATCTAAATAAACTGGGGTCACACAACTGTAGCATTTATATAGCAAGAGTATTTACTAATCTTGTCAATGCTAATGTATGATATTTAATACGTGCTCTCTGGAAGATACACAGGGGACATTTGTCCTTCCGGGGAAACCTTCTACCTTCCGGTGGTAAGCCCCTGTAAGAGCAAAGTGGCCAAAGGCAACTGTAGAGTTACCCTTACTAGTGGCAGAAAAAGCCTCCTGACATGAATGGCCTCAGCACCTTCTCCTGCACACACGTCAGGAACAAATCATTCATGATTAGCTGCCCAGAGAACCCTATACCATTACTCTAGCCCTTTCTTGTTTCAGGAGACTAATAGAGGCCATGTGGTAATTCTTGCAATATATATGCAGCCTCCTTTAAGTGATTCAAGTTTACTGATGTGTCACTTCTTGGTTTTTAAATTCCTCTTGCTATACTAAAAACAAATACTAATAACAAAAATAACACTTTATTGAAAAGGGAAAGTGTACCTCTTTGCATTTCTTTTTTTCTTCCTTTCTTTTTTTAAATACATGGTTGCATCATGTTCTCCAATACTTTCTGGTTAACATAATACCTAGTCTGGGATTAGGTTGGTGCAACAATAATTGCAGTTTTGCCATTGCTTTTAATGTCGGTAGACTAGGCCAGGGTATGTTATGTTCTGGCACATCATGTATAAGGTTGAATTGGCTTTTGTCCATGCAGGTTAGAGAACTCCTGCCTTGTACACTGGAGGCAAATAACACTTGTTTATTTGCCGTTTTCAGTTTACAGGTATCTAGAACAAACCATCGTGTATCTTACAAAGTCCCATGTCAATGTAATTCTTATGTATAGTCATTGCTTTAGACAAAGCTTGATTTTAATTCATTGATTTATAGTACTGTAAACAATCTGTAAATATGATTTGAGAGGTCAGACAGATATGCATATATCTTATCTGACTATAGAATTTTTAAATCACTACTATGTCTTAAAATATTTTGAGTTACTTTATGACTTAATATTACAACTCCAAAACAATGCACCATGAAGTAACCTGTTAACTCTGTTTCTTTGAAAGGGAGTTCTCGCTCTTCTGAACCAGCTAACCAAGGTTTTGAGAGCTGTGTTAAGATAAATTCACACAGCTACAGGTAATTATAAAAACGTTTCTTATTAAAGGTAAAGCAAATATGTTCTTATACTAAGAGGAGTTTTAATATATTTTGGGCTATAGTAAAACTTTACTTTTTAGGCAAAGAATAAAATTAAGGAATCCTTTTGTTCTGAGCCATTAAAAGCGATAGAAAATATTTTCATTTAAAGTTTAGTCTTAATATTTTCAGTAGTAGGAGGTAGAGGCTTACATTTGTAGTTTTTTTGTAGTTTCCCACATGCTTTTTATAGTTGTTAAATCATTTAAGCATACAAGGTTTCATCATGAATCACAGAGACACTGTTATTTATATTTTGTATTTGAGTAACTGGAGTTGCAAAAGTCAGCTAGTTCTCAAGGTCACAGGATAATAAAGTGCTAGCTTTGAAACTAAGCCTTCCGAAATTAAGCTATTCAATTAATTATTTTACTTTTTGAAATAATTTTCTGTGTTAATTTTCAAACTGTTCTAGAATTTTATATAGCCTGATTTCTGATGCAATGGTAGCCTCCATGTACACTATCTGGCAAGTCATCCCAGAGATCATGAAACTAAAAGGCTCCCACACCAAATGAAAATGTTCAACTTATACCTTTTATTAAATGCATTTTTAAAACAGTGAAAAGCAAGAAGAAAGATATTGGATAACTTACCACACTTAGGATAAGATCCAAGTGGGCAGAAGGACCAACTAGCTGATTGCTGGTTACACTAATATCAACATGTCTTGTTTCTCTCTGTTGTATTGGCCTCCCCTGCTGGCTGCAGTACTTCTGCAGACTCCTCTAAGTGGTTCAGGCTTGTTGATATATCACTTGTTTTTTTTTTTTTTTTTAATTTCTCTTGCTGTACTAAACACAAATGTGAATAACCAAAACAATGCTTTCTTGCAAAGGGAAAGTGCTTTGCTTTGCCTTCTCTTTGCATTTCTAATTTTTTAAATGTCTGGCTTTATCATGCTCTCTGGTACTGTCGGTTTAACTTACAGGCTGGTAGAATAGGTCAGGGTATATTATGTTCTGATACATCATGTGTCAATGATGTATATATAGATAGATACCTATATCTATATAGAGGGGAGCAACAGATATACTCTATTCAGAGTGTGTGTGTGTGTGTGTGTGTGTGTGTGTGTATACACACACACACATAGAGAGAGAGAGAGAGAGAGAGAGAGAGAGAGAGAAAGTATTGCTCTACTATCCATCCATCCACATATGTATATATAGAGACAGAAGTATTGTTCTGCTAGCTTTCTTACAGTCTATGATAAACACTAGAAATGTTAACAGTATGAGTGTCATCCATAATTCCCTTTTTCTTGTCTTCTGGAGCAGAACTGAATATTCTCAAGTAAACTAACAATAGCTGACCCTCCTATCCCTTTTAGTTCTCCCAACCCTCTGAGCATAGGGGAGTGGCCCCTTGGGCTGTCAAATATCTAGGCTTCTCTTTAGGAGCAGTATTGCACCCCAGATAAAACAGTGTGATCCTCATCTTCATTTACCCCAGCATTTCGACATCAGTGAAATCAGAAGCTAGGAAAGGAGGTGATGAAATTAGATTGCCTGAATTTGCATCTTGGCTCTGCCACTTATTAACAGTCAATTAACACTGTTAATAAAGCAGCAGAGGCAAGACAGAGATTCAGACAAGAACTGGATACATTATTTCACCACTCTGTACTCCATCTCTAAAATGAGGATAAAACTTTACAAGGTTAGTGTGAGAATTGATTTTTGTAATTAACACAAGGTGCTAAAATACTGAGCATACAACGTTCTGCAAATGTTAGCATAAAAAGGGATTTACTACTTTGGAGGAGGAAACACTCTATAGTCTCATGGATCGAGCCATGTATATAATGTAAGAGCTCCTTTTTTCTACTAATACCAAGTGGGAAAAGATATCTCTTCTTCTGCAGGAGTTAGGAAGGAACAAGCTATTGCTAGGACTTAGACAAAAGAGAAAAGACTAGATGGGCACTAGAATATAGCAGTAAAACTCTGGTATTTTCTAGTTAAGTTTGATAAATGGACTCTAAGTCATCATAAATTCTGGAGTAGACGACCTGAGGTATGTGTATATTTTGGCTATGACATTTCATTGATAGTACTTTATTGTTCTAGTATTTCTGACATTATAAAGAAAGTATAAAAATGGGTTATCATGTCCCCAATGTGATTTGCAGAGAAAAATGATACTTATATAACAGTCTAGTCTTTGGTCTTCCTTGGAACTGTTTTTTTAATGCGTCTTGTTGTTTCATGTACCTTCCACTTTTAATGAATATTTCCTGTATTAGTTTGCTAGGGCTACTGTACCAAAGTACCACAAACAGAATGCTTAAGCAATAGATATTCATTATCTCACAGTTCTGAAGGCTGGACATCCAAGATAAGGTGTCAGCAGGATGGCTTCTTTATGAGAGCTATCAGAAATAATTTGTTTTATGCCTCTCCTCTAGCTTCTGGTGGTTTGATGTCAATCTTTGGTACTTTTCAGCTTGTAGAAGCATTACCAAGATCTCCACCTTTGTCTTCACACGGTGTTCTTCCTGTGGGTATTTGTGCTGTAGTTTGAATGTGTCCCTCAAAAGTTCTTGTGTTGAAATTTTGGTCCTCAGTACAGAAGTGTTGAGATGTGGGACTTTTTGGAGGTGATTGGGTCATGAAGGCTCTGCCCTCATGTATATTTTAATTCATTTTTGTATTATTGGATTAATTGGTTATTGAAGAAATGGGTTTGTTATCACAAGTAGGTTCTGTTGTAAAAGCCAGTTTGACCATCTCTCATGAGCTCCTCCTGCCTGTGATGACTTCTGCCATTTTGTAACATAGTATGAGGCCCTCACCAGAAGCTAACCATATCTAGCCACCTGATCTTGGACTCCCCAACCTGAAGAACCATGAGCCAAAATAAATCTCTTTTCTTCATAGGAAACACAATACCTGTTTATTATAATACCTGTTTGTTACAACCAAACAGGTGTTGTGTTATAACAACAAAAAATGGACTAAAACAGTCTGTCTTCAAATTTCCCCTTTTTAGCAAGATACCACTCATATTGGATTAGAGACTCATCCTGTTTTAATATGATCTCATCTTAACTTATGGTATCTGCAATGACCCTTTTTCCAAATATGGGAACATTCTGGGATACTAGGGTTTAGGACTTTAACAGCTGAATTTTGGGGAGACATGTCAGCCCATCACAGTTCCCAATTTACATGGGGTTCCTCTATGCAGACAACTTTGCATGCCCTGAAGAAAGATAGTGGTTTTAAAGAATCTGCAGCTGTTTTCCTGGTGGTGCTCATCTCACCACTTCTGCTACTGAGTCATCGCTTCCCCACTGGGTAACCTCATTCCACCTTTCATCTTGTTCCTTGCCATCACTTTCTCCACATCCATTCTGGACTTTCTGAGCACTGTCTCCTTAACTGGTTGTTATATTTTTCTCTTTCTGTCACTGAAAACTGTTTCATCCCTCACATTCTTTTCTTCCCATTCTTGCTAAAAAACTCATTGTTTTATAGAAGCTGCTCTTTTTGAAAGTTATCAAAAATTGATAAATTGATCATTGAAAGTGATGAGCAATTCAGAAGACTCAGTGCTATATCCAGTTTACTCTTCCATAACAACTGACACCTAATTCTTTTCTTAATGGGAATTCTGCTCCTGCTGACTTCTGTAATAGTGCTCTCACCACTTATAAATGGTGTTCTGCCTAGCCATCTGACTGCTTCCTGTCATTCTTCTTGACTCATCTTTGTCTCCACCTTCCTGTGCTGATTTTAGCTTTCTTCATGGTACACTCCCTCTCCTAACAATTAATAGTATTAGCATTAAAATTAACATGTAGACTATTGAAGAGTAGCTGTAGAGTCTGGCTAGCATTTGTCACCTCTCCATAGAAGCACACATTACATTTATAAAGGTGTAAATGGTACAGTTTTAAAATTAGGTATTTTATTAATTAATGTGTGGAGGACGCCAGCAAATGTGTTCATGTTAGCATCAGCAATTAGTTAAGGAAAGAGCATAAGTTTTACAGTTCAGCAGTAAAGGTGTCTTTAAAAATAAGTTGGAGTAAGGGGAGAGAACTTAGAGGACAGCTCAATAGGTGCAGCAAACCACCATGGCACGCATATATCTGTGTAACAAACCCGTACGTTCTGCACATGTATCCCAGAACTTAAAGTAAAATAAAAACTTTTTTTTTAAATTTGATGAAAATGTCCAACTTCTTAAATTTTTTTAATATCTGGAAAAGATTGAAGTATACCTTCAGTGAATACTAACAACTTGCTTTACCCTTTCAATAGCTAAGTGTTGCTTGTCTTTATATGAATAGAATACTATCCATCAGTTTTCTATCAAAAAGCCAAATTTGACTCTAAGTATTGAGACTTCAATATCTAGTAGTTAATTATTTATTGCTATGTCACTATGTTATCAGCAATAATAACTGATTATTTGTGTATGTGTTTAAGGTAATTAATTACTCTTTAACTGAATGCTGTCAGAGAAGCTTGCTTTCTCTGTGTTTGTAGTTATGAAGAGTTTATGTTTTTCTTAAGAGAAAATGACATTTGTACATAGAAATTTTAAGATTTTATTGTTTCTTCTTTCATCTCAAAGGAATGAAGAAATGGTGGGCAGATCTTCCTTCCCCATACAGTGTTTCCCAATTAATAATACTTCTTTACCTCAAGAATATTTTCTCTTTCAGAAGATGGTAAGTTTAATATGCATTTTATTAAACATATAATATGATACAAACTATGAAGACCATGAAGACTATTTGTAACATATGGTGCACAAATTTAAACTGGGATAAAAACACAAGATGTCCTAGCGTTGTCCTCCAGTGGTCTTCTGCCCTAACACCATCATCCTAAATTTCACCTGTAATGCCTCAGCAAATGGCCAGGATGTCAACGGAAAAGGGACAGATGGCAGTGATGATACGCTGCAGTCCACGTGAAATTTGAATAGAGAGTTCTAATGTGAATGACTGTTTTAAAAAAGGTTTGCAGTGGCTGGGCATGTTGGTTCACACCTGTAATCGCAGCAGCTTGGGAGGCCAGTGCAGGATCAGTTGAGGCCAAGGGTTTTAGACCAGCCTGGCTGATGCAGTGAAACACTGTCTGTCATAAAAATGGAAAAAAATTAACTGGGCATGGTGGTACACACCTGTAACCCCAGCTACTGGGGAGGCTGAGACATAAGAATTGCTTGAACTCATAAGGCAGAGGTTGTAGTGAACTGAGATTCTGCCACTACAACTCCAGCCTGGCCAATAGAGCAAGATTCTGTCTCAAAAAAAAAAAAAAAAAAAAAGTTTGCAGAATTGAATAATTTCACTTAGATTGCTTTTGGACATGGATTTTTAATGTAAATTACTCTTTTTCATTGAAGACAAAACTATTATGAAGGTTCTCAATTGGTCAGGTAAACTAAATTATTTCCAGAGACTACCAAAAATTGGTTTTGACTTAGAAATCTTAATTATGGACTTCATTGTTAAAGGGGAACTTAATTTTTTTTTTCTATTCCTCATAAATAAGAAATTGAAGTCCAAGGTTGTCAATCAACAGGCCCAAGATTTTGCAGCTTGTTAGTGATGGGTGTAGGACTCACCCAGGTCTTCTGATTCACAGACTGTTATTTTTGCAAATACCCAACATATACATGAGCTTTAGATTTTTTAAATATCCATTTTCAATTTTTAAACAGAAAAAATTTCCCTGGAAAATAATGCTTGAACTTAAAAACAAAAACCTTTTCTTAATTATGGTAAGATACGGTAAACAATCGGTTCTCATCTGAAACTATAAATGTCTTCATCCCAGCATTTTTTATCTTTTGGTAGAGATGGAGTAGGAGAGAGACACAAGTTCATGGCATCTCTATTCATTTTTAATCTGCTTTAAATATAAATTTAAAGTTAAGAGCTTGTGTGTTTTTAAAGGAAGCATCTCTCCTATCTACATAAACAGTAAATAACTGTGCTATACAATATGTACAATTAGCTACATATGTACCTAGGCAGCTGAATTTTAAAATTTTATTTAATTTCAATTAATTTAAATTAAAATTTATGACCCATACTTGATTCAGTTATCAGAACACTTTTAAGTATATTTGAAACAATTTGGGCATGTGACTATTTTTTCAACTCTAAATTTGATGTAATCTAAATTCAGATTAGGTATTTTCAATAAAAATTTAGCATTCAGATTGAGATATGCCATATTTATAAAATATACCCCATATTTTGAAGACTTCTTATGAAGAAAAAGTAAAATATCTCATTAATTTTATATCATTTGCATGTTAAAATTATAACATTTTAGAGTGTTATAGTGGGATAAATGAAATACATTGTTTAATTTCACGTGTTTTTTTTTACTTTTGTATTGCAGTTCGTAGATTTAAAACTACATATAGGCTGGGCATGGTGGCTCATGCCGGTAATCTCAGCACTTTAGGAGGCTGAGGCAGGTGGATCACCTGAGGTCAGGAGTTCAAGACCAGTCTGACCAGTAGGGTGAAATGCTGTCTCTACTAAAAATACAAAAACAAGCCGGGTGTCATGGCATGAGCCTGTGGTTCCATTTACTCAGGGGGCTGGGACAGGAGAATTGTTTGAACCCAGGAGGCGGAGGTTGCAGTGAACCAAGATCATACCACTGTAGTCCAGCCTGGGCAACAAAGTGAGACAGCATCTCAAAACAGAAACAAAAACTATTTCTGTTACATAGCACTAATCTGCATTGTAGATTAGTAGAGCTATACACATCCTTGACTATATTGACCCTTTAATGAAACACCTACATTTCTATGAGAGTTAACTGCCTTCTTATACCAAAACATAGATTAGTTTACTCATGGCTATTTGTATAATACACATAAACTGTTAACTTTTTTCCTTAACCTTTTGGATTAGTTTTGGTAGATGAATGTCCTTTTTTTCACAGCAGTGGCATGCATATAATCCAGTACTGCAGCTTCCTTACTACGAGATGACAACTCCACTTCCTAATAGTACATCTGTGTCTTCCTCAGTGAATCATGTTCCAGATGTTGAGGCTGGGCCCAGCTCATATAAGTGGACTCACCAACAACCAAGTGACTCTGACCTTTATCAGATGAATAAACGAAAGAGACAAAAGCAAACAAGTGATAGTGATAGTAGCACAGACAACAACAGAGGTAACGAATGTCACCAAAAGTTCCGAAAGTCTAAGAAGAAGAAAAGATACTAGTATTACCTACAAATGAAACTTACCCACACTGATTTTAGTAGTCTTTTGAAAAAAATAAGATTTTATTCCATCAAATAACCAATTTCGTGGCTATCTTGTCTTTTGAAATATATAGTAATATGACTTATCTCTAGTTTGCTATTCAATTTTTGCCTTGAATGACAAAAGCTTTTTAAAAATAATATAATGTACTAATTTTGTATTTGTCATGATATTTTTGATCCATTGGCAATGTGTACTTTTGTCATTTTATTAGTACCAATGATGAAATTTCACTAAACTATTAATCAAAAATCACTTATTGAACACATTGATAAAGCACCATGCTCCCTTTGGTTATCACCTATAACCAACACTCAACTACAAATGGGCTGGGATTCTATGTGGGAGGGCGGATTTTCTGAAAGAAAGTAGTGCAGATATTTAAGGATTGCATGTTGTTCCTATTGAGGATGTAATAAACAGGCATTAGTACCCCTTTCTCTTAGTATCTAAATATGTTGTTTCTGAGCCATACTCTTCTTCTGGTTTATAAAGTGAGGACATACGATAATGATACCAAAGGAAAGATAATTATCAACTTTTGGATCTTTTTTTGTATACATTTGTGTATTTATAGAGATACCTGCTTCTTCTCACTTATTAATTGTATGTCATGAAAATCAGTTGGCTATGTCAGTGTGTATCATCTCTTGCTAGCAAAGTTTGAGATCATATATTCACATATTTAAATCTTGAAAATGAGCAAGTAAATAGAATAATTTATTAATGTATGATATGTAATGCTTATTGTCTAAATCAAGTTTCCTATTTTTGGTTCATTTATTTTAGAAGAAAAATAGGATACATGTAAAATTAATTGTTTATTTGGGCATTTTGTGTATTGTATAACTCATTACAAACTAGAGTGATGAAACTATATATTTACTAAAGCTAATTGAAAGAGTCTTGCAACTCAATTGGGAGTTAACCACCCATTCAATAGTAAAAGCCAGTTTCTTTTTCATGTTGCCTAGCACTTTATAAGTATTTATTATTTAAAAAAATAAAGATATGTTTTTAACAAAAAGAGTAACTGAATTTTACTCTTGGTTATAAATATATAATACAGTAAAGTTTGAAATAGAAATATTAGTCTATATCTAGTCAACATGAAAAACTAAATTTTGCTTTATGTAGCTGATATGGTTTGGCTCTGTCCACACACAAATCTGACCTTGACTTATAATCCCCATTATCCCCACATGTCAAGGGCGGGACCAGGTGGAGATAATTGGATTATTGGGAGTGGTTTCCCACCTGCTGCTGTTCTTGTGATAATGAGTGAGTCTCATGAGATCTGATGGTTTCATAAGCGTCTGGCATTTTCCCTGTTGGCACTCACTTTGTCTTGTTGTCTTGTTGCCTTGTGAAGAAGGTGCCTGCTTCTCCTTTGCCTTCTACCATGATTATAGATTTCCTGAAGTCCTCCCCAGCAGTGCAGAATGGGAGTCAACTAAACCTATTTCCTTGATTAATTACCCAGCCTCAAGTATTTCTTCTTAGCAGTATGAGAATGGACTAATACACTTAATTGGTACCAGGAGTGGGACACTGCAATAAGGATACCAGAAAATGTGAAAGAGATTTTGGAACTGGATAGTAACAGGCAGAAGTTGAAACAATTTGAAAGGCTCAGAAGAAGACAGGAATATGTGAGAAAGTTTGGAACTCCTTAGAGACTTGGAGGGCTCAGAAGACAGGAAGATGTGAGAAGGTTTGGAACTTCATAGAGACTTGTAGAATAACTTGTTGGAAACTGGAGTAAAGGTCACTCTTGCTATGCTGTATCATAGACACGGGAAGCATTTAGCCCATGCCCTAGATAGAGATCTTGTAACTTTGAACTTGAGAGAGATGATTTAGAGTGTCTGGTGGAAGAGATTTCTAAGTAGCAAAGCATTCAAGATCTGACTTGGGTCCTCTTAAAAGCATTGAGTTTTGTCCATTCACAAAGATATAGTTTGGAATTGGGACTTATGTTTCCAAGAGAAGTAGAGCATAAAAGTTGGGGAAATTTGCAATCTAATAAGATAGAAGAGAAAAGACCAGTTTCTGAAGAGAAATTCAAGCTAGCTGCAGAAATTTGCTTAAGTAATGAGTCAAATGTTAATCACCATGGCAATGGGGAAAATGTCTCCAAGAGATGTCAGAGGTCTTCCTGGCAGCCCCTCCCATCACAGGCCCAGAGTCCTAGGAAGAAAAAATGTTTTTTTGGGCCAGGCCCAGGGCCTTGCTGCTTTGTGCAGTCTCAGGACTTGGTGCTCTGCATTCCAGCCATGGCTAAAAGGGGCCAACATACAGCTCAGGCCATTGCTTCAGAGGGTGTAAGCCCCAAATCTTGGCAGCTTCCATGTGGTGTTGAGCATGTGAGTGCACAGAAGTCAAGAATTGAGGTGCGGGAACCTCCTCCTAGATTTCAGAGGATGTATGGAAACACTTGGATGTCCAGGCAGAAGTTTACTGCATGGGCAGAGCCCTCATGGAGAACACCTGCTAGGACAGTGAAGTAGGGAAATGTGGGGTCAGAGCCTGACACAAGTCCCCATTGGGGCACTACATAGTGGAGCTATGAGAAGATGACCACTGTCCTTCAAACTCTAGAATAGTAGGTCCACTGACAGCTTGCACCATGCACCTGGAAAGCTGCAGACACTCAACACCAGCCTGTGAAAGCAGCCAAGAGGGGAGCTGTATCCTACAAAACAACAAGTGCAGAGCTATTCAAGGCTATGGGAGCACACCTCTTGCTTCAGCATGACTTGGATGTGAGACATGAAGTCAAAGGAGATCCTTTTGGAACTTTAAGGCTTAATGATTGCCCTATTGGATTTCAGACTTGTGTGGGGTCTGTAGCCTCTTTGTTTTGGTCAATTTCTCTTATTTGGAATGAATATATTTATCTACTGCCTGAACCCTCAATACACCATTTGAATCCTAATAATGTTTTTGCTTCTCTTGTCATATGAAAAGAGTAATATCCTGGAGAGAAAAATAACCCTCACCTCAGACACGTACCCAGGCTATGTCTTTGTTGATTTTATTCCAATCTCCAAGGTTAATCACAAACAAAACATTGCAGACTCACTCTGCAATCAGAACTTGTCAATCAGAATTCTGAGAGTTATTCTAGACAACTTCCCATATCCACTTCTATTAGGTCGTTAGCTCCTCATTGTGACCTCGTTCAGTTTCTCTTTATTTCCTGCTTAGAATATCCATTAAGCAAGTCAATCCACAATGAACGAATGCCATTCTAAATATTAATTTTGGTGCTGAGGCTACATTACTAAAAATGTATGGTCCCAACATTCCAGAAGCTACTGGTCTGCTGGTATTGATGAAAAGACAGATAACATCAGGATAGTGCTATCACATAATATAGGTAAACACAAAGCAGAATGAGAGTGCAAGACAAGCATCATTCCTCAAGAAAATCCTGGGAAGAAAAGAGGGAATCATCTGACTACACAGAATAAAGGCGGGGATCTAGGAGTTCAACAGCTTTCTGTACAAACTCTAAGACTTTCTCATATTTTCAGCTCTGCACTTTATCTTTCCTTAGGTGGCATCAAGTTTTAAGCCTGTGCAAGTAAAATGGCTGGCAGCTTGCCAATTACTCCAATCCCCCTGAGAATATAGGGGCTCAGGATATGGCAATTAAAAAAAGATTAAAATTCCTGCTTTCATGGAACCTATATTTATGAGGAAGATAGAATAATTAGGATAAATTAAATGTAAAATCAGATTTTAATAACTGATAACTGCCGAGTAAAAAAATGCAGAGAAAGGTTTAGATATTAAAGAGCAAAAGCCAGAGAGAGAGTAAGCTATGTGGATAGCTGAGGGAAGAGCATTCCAAGCAGAGTAAACAGCAGATGCAAGACCCATAGAGGAAGCATTCCCGGGAGAAAAGAAAGGAAGCAGTGGAGGAAGTTAACTAAGGGACCTTAGAAGTTATTGTATGGACTTTGACACATATTCTTAGTGAGGGTTTTTTGTGAATGGGAGTAAGAGTGAGAGTGTGACAAGGATAGAAATATTGAGAACATTGAAGTTAGCCAGCCAAGAAAAGATGATTGTTTGGATCAAATGGTAGAAACAGAAATGTAAGATGTTGTTATATTCTTGATATATTTTAAATGTAGAGCCAACAGTTCACTAAGCAGCCTAACATTGGGAAAGAGAACAAATGTAGTCAACAATGATTCCAGGGTTTTTGGTCAGAGCAACTGGAACAATGAAGTTACCAATTGATATAGAGGAAACAATGGAAGAGCAAGTTTTGGACATGTTCATTCTGATTTTCATATTAGACAGCTAATAGGAGATAGGAATTTGTACACACAAGTCTGGAACCCAGGGGAGAGGACTAGGTTGAAGATATGGGCATTAGAATCATTGGCATACTCATGATATTTAAAACCTAGAGATTGGATAAGTTCGTCTAAGAAGTGAGTGAAGATAGAAAGGAAACAAGTCCAAGAATTGCCCTGGGTCTTACCAGTCAGTATTTGTCCCTCAAGGAGATGAGGATCAGCCAACAAGATATAGTGACAAACAGAATGTGATGTCTGTAAAAACAAATGAGATAAATACTTTAAGGAGGAAGAAATGATGAGTTGTATCAAATTCTATTGACAGGTCAGGCAGGGTGTGTACTCAAAATTGTTCATTGGCCAGGCGCGGTGGCTCACGCCTGTAATCCCAGAACTTTGGGAGGCCAAGGGAGGCAGATAACTTGAGCTCAGGAGTTCAAGGCCAGCCTGGCCAACATGGTAAAACCCCATCTATACTAAAAAATACAGAAATTAGCTGGGCATGGTGGCTAGTGCCTGTAGCCCCAGCTACTTGGGAGGCTGAAGCAAGAGAATCACTTGAACCTGGGAGGTAGAGGTTGCAGTGAGCTGAGATCATGCCACCGCACTCAAGCCTGGGCAACAGAGTGAGACCCCATCTCAAAAAAAAAAAAAAAAAAAAAGACAGAGAATTGATCATTAGAGTTAGCCATGATCCTTGATCTAAGACATTTTGAATGGATGATTCTGACAAAGGCATGATTGGAGTTATTTCAAGTGAGAATAGAAATAAGTAAAGGGAAGACTGCAAAAAGGAGACAACTTACCTAAATGTCTTGTGAAGTGGTGCAGAGACAAAGGACACAACTCGAAATAAATGATCAAGAAAGATTTTTGTTGGGTTTGTTTAATGAAAGACCTAAAGAAGTTCTAAAATTTTGTGGTTTCTTTTTTCATTCTCTGTGATTTAATAGTTTGTTTTTGAATTCTTTACATTTGTTGTAATTGGATTTTCAGAGGAAGAGGAGTTAAAACTGTCTGGTTTTCATATGTCATGTTTAAAGAGAACTTCTGTGTACTTATTCACTTATTTTAAAAATCATTTTTATTAAGGTCTTAAGAAAATTAACTCTCTGTTTTTTGTGTATGTTTTTCAAAATTTTCCAGTTTGCTTTTTGTGTTCTTTCCAGAAGAGTTTAGTTCTTATATCATTAATGTATAGTCAAACATCAGTTTTTTTATGGTTTCTGGCTTTTTATAATTATGCTTAGAAAACTCTTTTACAATCAAAAATTAAGAAAAAAGTTTCCTCTTAGAATTTTATTACTTTTAATATTACATATAAATATTGGATCATGAACTATTGTATTATGATATATAAAGAGATAAAATCTTTAGATTTTAAAAAGTACAACTTAAGAAATTTTAAGTTTGTTTGTTTGTTTGAAGGCTTATTACACCAGAAAAAGAAATTATATTCTGACTCTAGGTAATCCTGCAGAGGATGCAGTCCTGATGAAAGGAGTGAATATTCCAACTGACTTAATTTATTCCCTCCCCAGCCATTGGAATGGGAGTTTGAAGCAGAAAGTAAATTGAAGTAAAGGTTACATTACCTTAGCTGAGTTTGTAGAATGAGATGCCAGCCTTCTACGTAGAATACATAGCACACTCAGTAATGGTTTCCAGGGAAGCAGATTCCATTTCCACCTGAGGTAACAAAATA